GGCATTAATTTATAAAGATCAGTTTCATTACCATTAAAAACATGAACCAGAGTATAGCCTTATCTAACAATGGCCTTTTTAAAAACACAAAAAGAATGTCTTTCAGTTATTGAATTCTCGCTCATAAATTCGCCAGTAACTCAGCATTGTGTAGAATGTAGATGCTCTTGAATCTACTCCACTAGCTCCCACTAAAGGAAAGCACTTCAACAAAATTTTCAGTTTTCTTCTTAATATTCATATATTGCTAAGGCTTTCATTGTAATTGACAGTATATTACCCCAATAGTTTAATTTGTCTCCAATCTATAAGCTTAACTTTTCTGTCTATTCATCTCATTTCTTTTGTTTCGTGCTAGCAAATTTTGTACCACTGGTAATTATTTGGGCTAGATAATTTTTTCCATCCAGAATCATCTTCATTTACATGCAACATTGACTCCTTCAATTCAGTTGTAAATGTGATATCACAGTCTTTCAAAATCCTTTAGAGTTTCAAGATTTTCTTTCATTGTTAAAACTCTTCAGAATTTGCTAACTCATAATCTTATCAACCCACTAAGCCTTCACTGATATTTTAAAAATTAACTCTCTATAATTAATACAAAATAAACATTTTATTTTAGCCAGAAAAATATTTCTAAACTTTTCCTCTTGGTGTTATTTGAATTTAAGAATAAAACATTTGCTAGAGTAAAACGCAATGCCAAATCTTGTTGTTTTCTGCATTCTGTTAGAAGTGTCACTCTGATTTTTGATCTATTCTTTCTCTCTTAAAGTTCTGGACACTTTCATCTTTGATAGCCTTAACCTTTTCTATAATGTCCGTAAGTATGAAGGGTCCCCCCCGCAGCTTACCTGTCTTGTTTAGCACCCTTTGAACTCTTTCAATCCAGGTTTTTTATCTTTCTTTAACTCAGTGCAATTTTTAGTCATTAATTCTTCAAATATTTTATTCCTTCTTTTCATTTTTACCATGTACTCCTAGAACTTCAGTTACAGAAATACCCTGTTCGTTCGTTTTCCTTCCTTCCTTCCTTCCTTCCTTCCTTCCTTCCTTCCTTCCTTCCTTCTTTCCTTCCTTCCTTCCTTCCTTCCTTTCTTCCTTCCTTCCTTCCTTTCTTCCTTTCTTTCTTTCTTTTTGTATTTCTTGATTTTATTTTACTAGGATGTGAGCACAAAGCAATTGTGCTTAATGAAGTTAACAATTAGCTTCACTCTAAACATTTTTAATAATGCACATTAGAAAAAATTTTTTGCAAGTTGTTCGGCAATATAAACATACAATAGCTTGGAGAACAGTGTTTAGAAAACAAAAGCCAATGTAAAAAGACAGGCTAAAACAACTAAAACAGTACAAGTTTTATTTGGCTCTGATTTCATAGTTTTCTTCCTACATCATCAATGTCAAAAATCTGTTCCTTCAGCTGTCTCCATTGCTCAGGATTTAAAAAAACACCTTTTCTTCCTGGTTTCATTTCACCTTCTGAATCCATCCAGTATTCTCTAATATCAGTTAGGACTTTCCCTTGAGAGTTCCAAATGCTGGCACACCTCATTTCCTGTCTCAAACACATGATCGTCTCTGCTACTGAGCATCTGCTTAGAAAGTGACAGGGCTCTTGACCTTTCACCAGTCTTTGCTTCTTTACACGTTTTTGTGAAGGAATTTGCTCTTTCCTCTTTAACTTTTTGTCAACGTCCCTGTCAGAATGGCTGCCAGAGAGCTTGAGGAAGCAAGTTCCTTTGACTGAGGCATCACTTCGCTCCTACTCCTGAGCAGCCCTGAGCTCACTCTCTCTGACTCTGCCCTATTAGTTCTGGGTGTCATATAGCTTTCTTTTCTTCTACACTTCCATCTTTTAATTGCTTCCCTATACCTTCTGAGAGAGTTCTTTGGGCCTTCCTGTTCATTAATTCACCACCAGCTGTATTGATTCTGCTGCTTAAACGAAGTGTTGAGTATTTTATTTCATCCAATTTTAAAATGCGTAATTCACAAAGGGGAATCAGACTTTTTCTCCCCCCAATCCAGGACCCGCCCACTACGCAGGAGTGTGATCTAGAATCAGCCAACCAGAGGCCCCTCGCCAGGATTCAGTACCTTGGAGCTATGACTCAAAGGGACATATTCCCAGAGGCAGTGGCAGGGTAAGGACACAGTGCCCACAGGTGGAATGTGGGTGGTGGTGTCAGTGTCAGTCCTCGTGAGTAACTTGGTTGTGATCTCAGTTGTTTAAACTCTCTTGGTTCCCATGTAGACGTTGCCTCTCCAGCCTTCACACTGATTCTTTCAGATGACAGCCAGTTTTCTTCCAACAGGTGTATTTTCTCCTTAAGTCACATGAGGTTGAACAATGAGTTGGGTCTTGGGGGAAGTACTGGAGGGTTGAAGTTCTAACTTGTTCCTCCTACGTTAATTCAGATTCTGTAGATAACTGTCATAAATTGTGGTTCAAAAAATAAGTTAAAAAAACATATTACTTAAAGTTTTAAAATTAATGACTGGTACAATGACAAATAAATAAAACTAATCAAATTTTGGAGAGGGGAATAAATTTGGAGTTAAGTGAGATAATCCCCAAACTTTGATGAATGGTATTCAGAAGTCACAGTTCAAAGCTAATAAAACAAGTAGGAAGGGCAAATTTTATTTAGAGTTGTAAAAATAATCACTGGAAGAACTAAGACAAATGGTAAAATGTGACTATATTTGGTCAGAGAGACTAACAATAGAGCGGAATGGGTAAATGCTGTAGTTCATTTTCTACCTTTTTCTCCCATTTAAATCTTTTTGAGTCCTCCTCTGGGCTACATGATCACACCCCATAATATAAAGGAAAACTAGTAATACCTACACACACATACACACATGTGCACGCGGATCCAGCTGCAGTGCTCAGAATGCAAACTACAGGAGATTTAATTACGTAGGAATCGATTCAAGAACACAGATTTGCCTCCAGATTTGTTTTCTTGGATAAAACACAAAGCAGCCTCACACCCATCATGAGCTAAATCATGTGCAGAGAAGGAAGGAAATCTAATCCCAAAAGGTGACTGAGAAAACAAAAGGATTCTGTGCCTAATAAAAGCAAGGCACAGAAAAGCGAAACTTCAGACGGTCATGGTTTGGGCCTTGGCTCCCAGGCACTCCACCAACACCAGACTTGCAAGATTAGCTGCTTATTTCATCTGGTTAAACATACTCATAAACTTGAGCATTCTGCAGGCATAAATTCTTCATATCTGAACAAGAGGGACTTACAGTTTATTGCATATACACAAGACGTGGGAGTCCAAAAACCTGTAATAGTTTTATCTGCACTTCTAGTTGATAGCTGGTGACCTTGAGTAAATTATCACACCAGTCTAAGTTTTGTTGTTTGTAAAATGGGCTTAGAATTACTAACTGCACAAAGTTGCCACTAAAACCTAATGAAATTATGGACAATATTTAAGAATACTTGATAAGATACAAAGCCCCTCAAAAAATGTTAGGCGCTATTATTATCATTACCACAATTGGTCACAAAGGATATCTGTAAAAACAAAACCATGGCATAATGAAAATTTCTCCTATTACTAAAAATGTAACAAAGGAGAAACATCTCTCCCTTTGAGAATACATTATCACTCCCAGAACACAAAAGACAGTGTTTGACCTCACACAACTCACAGCGACATCGGTGAGGCCAGCCCTAAATGTCTAACGTCCACATGTGGCAAGCATGTACCACAGTTCACAACATTCAGTAAAGACAAGACACGTTACAGAAAATAAATTAATAAAAGTAGACTAGCATGATGTGTACGTAAGAGGTGGAGAAAAAAACGTTAAGTATATTAACTGCTGTCCATTAGATTCTAGATCCCCTAGAGGTGAACCACAAGCAATGTGTTCATACAAGGCTAAAAGCTAAAGCTGAGAAAGCACACAGAGGAGGAATGGGACTCGGAGGAGGGACCAGCGAAGCGAACCCCTTTGGAAAGCAGCACGATGGCAAGGAAAGCACCCCGACCGGGAGTCAGGGAGCCGAGTTCCAGCACCAGCACTGCACTCGGCCTCTGTGACCTCTGGGCAGGTCATGGCCCTCGCTTGGTCTTGATTTCTCTACGATGTAAAACAGGAGATGTAAGACTACTTAGCACAGCAAATTGATCATTTAGAAAAAAATTATTAAGCGCCTATTATGGGCTAGAAAGTGTTCTAGGCACTAGGAACCTCAGAGAAAACAAAAATAGTTATACTTCCTGCTGCTATGCATCAACCCCTGTGGGTGATAGTCACCCAACTCAAAGACCCAGCATGCCCGGACTCTGACTTCAGGCTCTGGGGAAGCCGGGCAGGGCTGTGAGGACAACTGAATGACCCAAGAGGATGAGGCTTGACCTCTCCCTCAAGGAGGGATATTCTTGAGAGCAGAAGCAAGTGCCCCTCACTCCCTTGACCTACTCCAGGTTCTGGCTTTGAAGCTTAATATCAACCATGTCAGCCAACTGACTTCTAGGGCTCAGAGAAACGTCCTGAAGTATACAGACGTTTTATTTTGTCTTTTTAGTTAGATACTACTATGTGAAAGAATGGGAACATAATAAGATACGTGTTTTTTAAAAGCTTATACAAAACCATCAACATTAAGGATTGATGAAATTTCACAAAAATTAATCACAGTATTTCTGGCTCCTTTCTCTGCTTCCCACAATAGGAAAAATGTAACTTACATGTGTAATTTAAAAAGAAATGAATTAGTTACTATACATAAACAGAACATAACACCCCTTTACCAAACCTAAAGCCCCAGTGTTGAATTCCATAACGTGGTAAAATAACGGACTCCACATTGCCAAAGGAGATATAGTACTTCTATTCTGCATTTCCTGTTGCCCACGGGTGTGAAAGAAGGAAAACGTTCGAAGATGTCAAAGTCAGCTGCCGCATAGAGATCTGCCAAAGAACGCCGAGCATCCCGACCACTCCTCTGCCTCCAGCACACAGGCCTAGGACCGCCAAGCACACGCTGTCTTCCGCAGGATCCTCCGACAAGCCTGCCTCGCCCTGGGATTCCCCATGATCAATATGACAGAATGAAGAGAAGGATAGGCAGCCATGAGTGTCTCCGAGACAAACACAGTCACGAGATTAGCAGGAGGGGCCTTGGAGGTGATAGAGTAGGGGCTGGCCATGAAGTAAACCACATAAAGAATAAGGAAGCAGACCAATGACTTCAGGACAGTGATGTGAGCCTTGGCCCGAGCATCACTCCTGCCAGCGGTGTGGCCCTTCATCTTCCTATGGTGTCTATACAAAGAGACAATCAGCATCCCAGAGGAAATAAGAAACACCGCAAAAGGAAACCCAGTTCCCGCATTGAGCTGCAATATGCGCTGATAGTGCCACCTTGAAAGGTGGTACAGGATGCTGCTATTTCTTTGGGAAGGACTGTAGAACTCTAAGCCAACGTGGGCTACAAGGAACACATTGGTCATGAGGCACGCTAGAAGGCACCAGCCACTCAGGCAATGGGCCCTCTGCTTCAGCCAAAGGTAGACGCGGTGCTCGAAGGTTGTGATCTTCTTGCAGTAGAAGACACTGAGGAAAGTGGCAAACCACAGGCTGGCCTGGCTTGCCACAACCCAGAAGATATTCAGAAAGCGAAGCTCAAGGCTGCTCTGCAAGAACGGACACAGGATTAAGTCCACCATGATCAGGCACTGCAGGAGAAATCGGCAGCCAGCCAGGCCCAGGATGATGAGGTGGTAGGAGAGCCCCCTGGATTTCCTGACCCATTCTCCAAGACTCCAGGCCACAAGGACTGCGTTTCCAACCAGGCCAATGAGAAACTCGGCCACGGCCGCCAGCATGAGCAGCCCTAGGACAGCAGTCAGCATGGCTGTGGAAGGGGTCCCTCTGTTGTCTTGAGAGCTGCCCTGTTCTCACGCTGAGGAATGCGGGCGGCTCCCGGTGGGGCCTTGAGTCCCCCAAGAGTGACACCACACTCGCGGCGGATTTTCACACCACAAAATCTGGATCTGGAATTGCCCTTCTGCAACCTGTCCTCAAGCAGACACTGGCCAGCTGTGACCAGGAACACAGTTTAGAAGTCATCATCCCCTTTGCATTTGCATCCACATGAACAAACTCTGAGCCTAGACCCAGGGGCTTGGAACAGCAGCACAGCCACCAGCTTTCCTCGCAGGGGTCATGGGCCAATGTCTAAACACCAGCACGTAGTGCGAGAGGCTTGTCAACAAGAAAGGCCAGATCACAGCACTCTCAGATTCTACACCTGCCAGATATGAGCTCATATGTGCAAAAAAGGAATTTTATTTTCATAAAAACAACTCTGAACATGTAAGCATGATGGTCAAATAATTGTTGAAATTTAAAATATCTTTCATCCAAAGAGAGAAGTAGAGGAGGTTTGGGCACAGAAAACAATCAGAGAGCCAAAACATCATATTTAAGTGCAAATGATAACAAATGTGTATGTAGGTCAGGTAGAGAAGACGTTCTTGTTAATCAGAGTCTTCAGATCCACCTGCCCTGGACGACTGCCTGTCCTTGCACGCTTCACTTAGCATACATCTCACATCAAGCCCCACAGGAAGGAGATGAGGAAGACGATGAGCTCAAAGAAGTGAAAACAAGACTAGCACAGTTATCAAGAAACATAGGGAAAGTGCTTCATTTATTGTCCAGATTCACTCTGCCCTGGGGCCAGCCCCACACAGCTGGGTGTGCGGTGGACTACATCCCAACACGGCCCCCAGAAGCCCCACCCTGAATAATCCTTGAGCTGCAACTGTGAATGCAATCAGATGGTACCTCTGTGCTTACATTATGTGGCAAAGACAATGGGCTTTTGCAGATGTAATTAAGATCCCAAATTACTCAAGATTGAGTTTTAACAAAAGGAGATCACCCTGGGTGGGCCTGACTTAATCACTTAAGAGTCTGGGACCAGGGACAGGGACCTCCTGCAGGCCCTGAAGAGTCCAGTTGCCATCTGCTGAGAAACGGCAGAAAGCATCTAGATGCTGAGGTGCCCCAGCAGTTGACAGCCAGTAAGAAAACCTTGGTCCTACAACTGCAAGGAACTGAATTCTTCCAACAAGAGTGAGCTTGAGAGAGTACCCTGAGCTCCAGAGAAAGAACAGCCCGGTCAACATCCTCACAGCAGTTCTGAAACCCGCAGAGAGGACCCACGGAGGCTGTGCCCACACTTTGTGAGCCACAGAGACTGTGACACAATTAATGTATGTCCTTTAAGGCTGCTAAGTTTGCGTTGCTACAAAGGAAATGTTAAAAAACCCAATAGTGTTCTAACCAGGCTGGACAGGACTCTGAACAAATGGGGAGCATGAGGAATAAGGTCAGAAAGGGTGAGGAAGGCCGGGCCAGCGCCCCAGGAAGGCAGTGGAGGCTGTACAGTGGGAAGGCTCAGTGCTAGGGGTCCGAGCTCCGGCATCGGGCCCCAGCGCCAGCTCGTGCGCTCTGTGAAGCTGCAGACAACCCGCTGCCCTCTTGGACCTCGGCTGGCCTGCTGAGAACATAATGGACTGTGGGACAGACACCCACTCACTCAGATTAAGAGAAGATGCTCATGACGCGCCAGGCAGAGCACCAGCGGCAGGACACAGCAGTGAGCATGCACAGCCCCGCTTCCAGGGGCACACCTCGGGCGCCATCTCCACCCAGACACAGGACCGGTGCCTGAAGACAGGCCGCGGCTGTAGAGACACGGAGCCGGAGGTCACAGCCTGCCACACGCCGGAAAACCTGGGTGAGGCGTGCACCTCTCCAAACGCAGTGTTCCTCATCTTTGTAAAAAATTGTATTGAATTTATTGGTGCGACATTGGTTCATTGCAGTATTATTTACAATAGCCAAGATCTAGAAGCAGTCCCAGTGCCCATCAGTAGATTTAACATTTCTTAACGAGCTGTGGTACATTTATACAAGAGAACACTTCTTGGCCAGAAAAAGAAGGAAACCTTGCCTTCTGCAACAGCATAGGTGGACCTGGGGTGTATTACACCAAACGAAAGAAGCCAGTCAGGGAAAACCAAGAACAGGGTTTCTGTGGTGACTATTTGACAGCAGACAAAACTATCCCTTGTCGGCCACTCTGTCCTGTCCCACTCTGGGTTCTGGGCAGCGAACTGCATACAAAGCTAAGTGGTCAACTGACCTGTATCCAGAAAGCCTAGTCTGGCCAGGGAGGAAGGAACGAAGGCAGGAAAGGAAAGGAGGAAGGGAGAAAGGAAGGAATGAAGAAATTGCCATAAATATAAATTTTTTTGACAGATACTTTATTAATGAAGTTAAGAAAGGCTGAACGATGTGGGGAATTGAGATAATCCTTCCAAGAAGAAAAAAGCTTGCCTAACAAATATCTACCAACTGATGCACAGGTTTGACTTTTTCCCAAACACACGTTATTTCAACATAATAGCTATTTTCTATTTCCTTTCATCAGGGGACACATTGTGTGTTGGCAAAGAAAATTAAATTGTCTGCAGCAAGTTAAAAAATGTGATACTTCCCATGCAAAACATGAAAACTCAGTTTTGGCTTTGGGAGTTTATTAAAATAATGTGTTTGCATTGCTTATGGAGCCATAGCTCTGGCTTCTACTCTGTTTTTCATGTTACCCTCTTATTTTATTTCAAAATCAAAGAGAAATTGAGAACAAAAATCTTAATTTTCCTGCTGGCAATAATCTGGAGGAAGGGCTAACCGGGTCTCTTTCCCATGCATGGCCTCTAGCATCTCCAAGCACAGGCCACCTTCCACAGAATTCCCCAGCAAGCCTGGTTCCCCGTGGCCATGATGAGAGAAGGGAGAGAAGTGTAGGCAGCGTGGGTGTCTCAGAGATGAGACAGGTGAGCTCGCAGGGGAAGAGTTGGAGATCATGGAAGAAGGCTCGCCAAGGCATAAAACGCCAAGTAAAAGAGAAAGAAGTAGCTACAAGACTCCAGTTTCAAAGACTCAGGTCTGACACTTTCCCCCAGATGCCTTCTGCCCACCAAGAAGCAAGACCAAGGAGGGCTGCTTCCCTAGTGCACTGGGAGCGTACCCCAGTGAGGTGGCACTGGGCGCTCCCACGCACAGGCAGCCTTTTCAGCGCTTCCTGGAATTGTGCCTGCACTGCCACTAGATGGCGACACGGCAACCCCTTAGTGGCGGCTCTTATCCTGGGCAAATTCATTCTTCTCTTCCTTAATGCGCTGTATGAGTCCAGAAATTCGGGAACTGAGCAGTTCCTGTGTTACAGGAACAAAAGTTGTGAGCATACGCACGCATATACTCAGAGCCTTGCCAGCTTCTTTCCCCACCGCCGTGTAAGGATGTGGGGCTCTGGCTCACTGGGTCCCTACCCTCTGGATCCTGGGCCTCAGGGACTGGGATGGGGCGGGAGGAACTGCTGCTAGTTGCTGCTTCCAAAGAAAGGTGACCTGCATGAGTCCAGATTTTCTGGAAAGCAAGAATAAAGATGGAAGACTAATTACCCAGGTCTTTAAAAGCATACACTAACATCAAAGATACAGAGATTTCCTTTATTTTTAATGTTTAGAAAACCACCTTTATTGATTTTAGAGAGAGAGCAAGGAGGGAGAGAAAGACAGAGAGGAGAGAAGCAACGATGTGAGAAACATTGATTGGTTGCTTCCCATGTGCACCCAAGCAGGGATTGAACCCGCAACCTAAGCATATGCCCTACCAAGAAATGCTTCCCATACACAATCAACCAGGAATGGAACCCACAACCCAAGTATGTGCCGTGACCATTAATTGAACCCCCAAACTTTTGGTGTTAGGGATAATGCTCCAACCAACTGAGCCTGAAAGGAACAACCGAAAGGAAGAGATTTTCTAAGCAGTAGCAGTATATCTAACTATTTCTCCTCTTGAGGTTCAGATCATCATTCTACATAGTCATTGTCTCAACTATGAAAGCAGCAAAATTGAGACAAATAGTCTTCCTGTATTTAAAATAGGTCAGAAATGTTATCAAACAAATCTCTAACGGGTGTACCTGTGTTTAGACAGCTCACTTGCAAGCCGGCTGTGCACACATTGAGTCATGTGCCAGGGCCTCTCTCTCCTTCTAAAGGACTTGGAGTTAGTCACGGCCTTGCCCTTGGCCCGTACACCTGTCCCCCACACAATCCAGCTGTTCTGGCGGGATGGCACTACTGCACTCCCCCAGAAGGCTGACCTCACGCCCACCACCCAGCACGGGGGTGGGGGGGAGGGGGCGGGGATGGCCTGCAGTACATGCCCCGCCCCCCTTGTCTTTACCCTTCACACTCCGTGTCCCTCTCTCCTCCCCCACCTCCACTATCCCTATCACTTCCTTGTTAATGTCCACGCCAAGCAAATCTCACACACACATTCACACACAGTTTCCTTTCGCCCTTTCTCTCTCAGGGAGTGAACTGGCCATGGGCCAATCATCCAATTCCCTGGTTTTGTCAATCCACTTCCCCCTTGCCAGGAGCAGGGAGAGCCCCAGAGTCTTTCCCCATACTCAGCGATAATGGGAGGCAGGGCATACAATATATGAAAAAAATCCCCAACAGACCCAGAGTGCTTCTCGCTGCTCCTACCCTCTCTGAGAAGGAGCAGGCTACCCTAGAACCGTCTCCAGCTTTCATTTTAAAAGGGAGCATTCCTGGGAAACTTACTTTAAATGCCTTCAGTGAGATTCAGTGTCACCTACATTCACATGTGCTTTACAAGATTAATGTCTCCTTCCTCTTTAATCCCTCTTTCTTCTGTTTGTTTGTTTCTTAAACTTCTGAAAGTGGCTCATCAACAGATGCTGGTAACAATCATTGGGGGACCCCAAAGTAACACAGTTAAGTGAAATTTGGGCTGTATAAATAACTTTTTTAAGTCCTTTAACTGACTAAGAATTTCATTTAGTCTTAACATGAATTCTACTTTCTCATCATCTTTCTCTTAGCCCGTTCCTTCCCCAGTAGCAGCATTTATAAAAATTTTAAAATGGCTTCTTCTCTAATGTTAATACTTCTTGGTTTAAAAATGTATCTCACATAAATTTCAGGACTAAAGCCCATTATTTACAGAACAGCATGATGTTTGTTTCACTTAAGGAAAATAAACACCTGCAAGATTTTCCTATCTTCCTTCCTCAACCTCAATAGACAGATAGGCAGAAAGACAGACAGATGGAAATAAAGAGACAAATATTTATCTCAGTAGCCCTGAGCAGGTTTTTAGGCTGGACAAATCCTGCTTTGGACATCATTTTGAGTATTTTCTTCCTCAAGAAAATAAAGCTTTATTATGGTGCATGATACTACTCCATCCTTATGTCTTTCAACCTATCTTGATGTAGTTGAAAAAGATTGGAGTTTAGAATCAGAAGATGAATTGGAGCCTTGGGTCTACCCCTTCCTAGTCTTACTATACGAGCCATTTAGTTATCCTGTTTGTGCCTCAATTTTCTCATCTGTATAATGGGCATAATAATACCTACACTGGCAAAGAAGTTATAAAAAACCAATAAAATAGCATGAGAAAATATAGTTAAGACGTTACTGGGCTAGCAGCTGCTGAAAGTTCAAGGCAGTGCCCCCGAGCCAGAGCTACCAGTGTCTCATGACGTTACAGACATGCCCTGGTGTGCCCTCTTCATTTCCAAACAGACCTTTCTTAACAGAGCCTGCTAAACGTCCCCTCCTTCCCCGAACAGATGGAGACTACCATTAGAGAGCCTGTGAGGTATCATATCTTGAAGAAACTAACTCCAAAAATTTTTTTTGAATTCCTGGTGAATAAGTACTTAGTGGCAGGGCACACTGAACCAGCAAAACCCCACACCCACAGTACTGCTGAAACTGAGCCCAAGGAGAACTTGGGGCGGGTGCCTAAACAAAGACTCGAGACGTCCTTCAAACAGCAAGAACAGTCCTCACACAGGCCCTAATGTAAAAATACACATCTAGCCCTGGTGGGGGAAAAAAACAATACAGATAATCAAAAATGAAAAAGCAGAATTTTGCCAATGCAAGAGAAAGAATCCAGACTACGCAGAAGAAAGGTTATTCACTTAGCCTCTCCTAGACAGGAGATGTTGAGATCAGAACACCCTATATATCTTTTACACAGACCTAGAGAAGGACAAAAAGACACACCAATATTTATATACCATGAATTTTTTAAAGTATGTGAGTTTTCTCATTATAGAAGAAATATGTTCATCATAGGAAAATTAGAAATTATAAAAAACATTACTGAAAACTTCACTTGAAGATAATTGCTGTTTGTTATTTTCTTTGGATATACTTATTTTTCACCAATATTGGTATCATACTGCATATGCATGTTTTTCTTTTTATTTCCATGTTCACAAGTATTAAATCACAAGTATTTTTCAAGTCATATAAAAATGTTCTTTGACTATAAGACAATAAATAAATCCATACTGCTTCATCATGAAGATATACATTACTGTACGTGTTTATGGCATAGCATAATGTGCATGAGTAGGGCAAGAGAAAGTCAGCGTCTGAAAGAATGGAGATGTCTGCTTCTCATGAGCAGTCCAGATCTGGTGTGACAGCTCCACAGGGTCAGGAACTACGGAGCCAACTCTAGGATGGAGAATCGCTCCACAATTCTCAGGTGGTCACCTCACCTCTATGGTCCGAGTCAACCAATCGTTACCTCCCAGCACACACGGAGAAGAAAAGGCAAAAGGAGAAGGAAGGACATGCCTGTCTAGGGGCGTCCCCCAGAAATTATATATCACCTCTGCTCATACTCCATTGGCAGCACTTGATCACATGGCAGCGACTACTTCTAAGAGGAAGCTGTGAAGTGCAATCAGCTGCCAAAATCCTGAGTAGCTAGGAATCTGTTACTATAGCAGAGACAGGAAAGGTAACAGACCCTGGCAGAGAGAGAGGCTCTGCTACTCACTCAGAGTTCCCAGGTCATTAGGTGCATTTAATCACTCTTCATAATGCTTTTATCTCCTAATCCTAAGATTCTAAAATTATGAGTACCTCCAAGTTTTAGAGTATAAAATGCTGCTTTGTGTAATCCTTACTAAATATTGCAGTCAAGAGTCTAGTGGCCAAAATGAAAAAGTTTAGATAATTTGTAAAATTTGGTGATTTCCCTTTTTTGCTGTTAATAAAGAGAATATTATGTTAATAAGACTATATATGTTGAGGTCTGCAAATGTTGCATGTGTTTTTTAATCACCAAAGAACTATATAAATCATTATTCCCCAATTGCATACCAAAGCTAATCAATATTCCATCTATGTATTCCTGTTCTTCTGTAGCCATAGTTCTGCCATTCCAACAAAGAAAAGGAAAAACCAGTGTTCTGGGGAATTTCTCAGTGCTCATACAAGTCAGTGCATAAATTTGCAGAGATGATGCAAATTCACCAAGTCAGGAACTCCCACGACCAGTTCAACGGCACCTCCTAGCTTTTCCACTGGATCCCAGTTTTACACGCTGAGGTACAATATTTTGTAAAGTTGCAAACAGGTTGTGTTAATGCCACAGTTTGGAACTTGCTTTTCTCCCCCCCTCCACCCGCCTTTGAACATCTACTTGGCTTTAAGAGACTTACAAACAGGCCAGCATCCCATCAAGCAACTAAAAGAGCACTTTCTTTTGACCTTGACCTTAGACTAGCTCCCTGGATTGTACGATGCTTGGAACTATCCTGGATCGGGCTTCTTTAATACTGATCACTTCCCTCCACCTAGCAACTCTGACCCTTCCCTTCTTTATAGAAACAAATGAGAATATCAGTCCTCATTTCCCAAGATAGAAACAACCTAAATGTCGATCAACAGATGAATGGATAAAGAAGATGTGCTTTGTATGTATGTGTATATGTGTGACGGTGTGTTTGCATACATACACATGTATACATAAATAAGTTACTACCACCAGCAAGTTGAGGACAGTTTTTATGTGCATCTGTCACAATGTAAACCTATTTTCTTTCACTTTTTTCATTGCTCCCATTTCTCTCTAAAAGTTCCCTTTTTTCCTTCTTTGCACTCTCTCCCTATGTTTTAGTCCAATTCAATGACTCCCGGTGCTGACTCCTTACATGGGACACCTCTGCTAACCCTCCAAGTTTAACTAAAAATATTGTGTGCTGCCAATCAATAACTAATACTGTGGTTGGACATACCCTTTTGGTTCTCATTGTGACTGCAAAAGACGCATTAGCAATAACCAGCAGGAAATTTTGCTATAATAAAGGTTTATTATTTACAGAATCTGGAAGTTACAGGCACACTTGGGGCCACACAGCAAGGTCACAAGCAGAGAATGAGAGAGAGACAGAGACAGAGAAGCAATGGGCCTGGGGTTCTGCTTTACCAAGGTTGGAGGGTGAGGGCACAGGGTTTCCAAGGACTCACTCTTTATTGGTGATTTTAAAACGCAGGAGCAGGAATTTAAAGTGCAGAAAAAAAAAACAAAAACAAACAAACAAACAAAAAAAACATGTGGCCCAAATAGTCAGTTATTAAAAGCAACTAAGATCTCCAATACAAAGGAGGCTCAATGTAGGGAAGTGGCCTGGCTCTTGATCTAGTTGTGTGATTAGCAATGTATTTATTCGCTGACGGGGATGCCTTGGAATCCAAACTTAAGTCAGGTTGTCTCCACATCTTGGCTATTGTAAAAAAAATGCTGCAATGAATACAGTGGTACACATATCTTTTTAAATTGTTTTTATTTTCTTCAAATAAATACCCAGAAAAGGAATTGGGGGATTATTTGGTAGTTCCACTCTTATTCCTTTTAAAATCTCCATATTGTTTTCCAAGACATGGAAACAACTGAAGTGTCCATTGGTAGATGAATGCATAAAGATGTGTTACATATATACATTGGAATACTACTCAGCCTTAAAAAAGATGAAACATCACCATTTACAACAATATGAATGGACTGTGAGGGTATTATGCTATGTGAAACACATCAGATGGAAAAGTACAAAAGCTGTATGATTTTACTGGTATGTGGAACATAAAACAAAAAAGAAACAAAGGAACAAACAAACAAAACAAACTCATGAATACAAAAAACAGACTGGTAGTTGCCAGAGGGCAGGGGGTACAGGAGAGTGAAATGGGTAAAGCAGGGCAATTCTATGCTGACAGATGGGAACTAGGCTTTTGGTGGTGAGCATGCTACAGTGGGTAACAGACAACGAATTACAATATTGGACGCCTGAAACTCATATGATGTTAATAACCAATGTCACCTCATTAAAAAAAAACAAAAAAAACAAAAAACCCAAGAAAAGAAAAGCTTAAGTCAAGCAACTGAATTACAAAAAAAGGTAAACAACTGTCAGGCCTAACCACTACACAGGTGAATGATAACGTACTGGTTAATTTGGGGAACATCCCATCATACTTCGGTAGCTGATGAAACAATGTGGTGATCTGCATCACCCAGGAATGCAACGCCCATGGAAATACATGATGAATAATCCCCCAAACAAGTCCTTTACAGAAATTGTCTAATTTTAAACACAAGCAAAAAATTTGCAAAATGAACTAAAATGCAGGCACTCAAAGGCCTAAGAAATCAGATCAGCAATTACAAAAATGAATTCCTCAGACTGCTGGCAAAAATGCTAACAGAGAAAAATCATGCTCCCAAAACACAAAGTGACTGCACCACTATTAACCCCTAATATTCCACCATTTGTTGAAACACAGAACCTTCTCTGCTTTTGTTTTCAGTTTAGGATGTGTGAGAATAATGAGAACAGAATGTCCTGGGTGGTAAACAGCAGAGATCACCACACACAAGGATCTGGTTCCCACATCCATCTCTACGGAAGAGTGGAGGTGGAGGGACAGGGCAGCCACGGAGTACGGGATGTACAGGAGGAGGGAATACACCATCAGCTTCACGGCGCCCATGTGAGCTTCGGTCTGGGGATTCCAAAAGCCGCTGGCGTTTCTCTGCATCGTCTGTATGTGTCTCCTCAAAGAATTTAGCAACAAGGAAGCAGAAGTCACGTTAATGATGAATTGGAGAAATGAGCTCAAGGACAAAGAGATCACCAAAGACAAGATGCGCTCATTGACGCTAAATTCTGTGCCATTTCTCTCAGTCACACATTCAGGAAAGTGTAGCGTCTGCCTGAGCACAGCGTATAGAAGCGTGGTGAAGGCAGAAATCAGCACACAGGCCAGCAGCAGCCTGAGGGTCTTTGGGAAGAGATTTTGTTTCAGCAGGAGAAAAACTGAGTGCTGCAAGTTAGTAATCTTCACGCAGTACAAGACGTTGAGCAAGGTCACAAACCAGAGACTACTAGAGTCCAAAAGCATCCAACTCAACAAGAGAGCAAGCAAATAGACTGACCTTCCGGCACTTGGGAAGATGAAGTAGAAGAGGGCCAGTAGAGACAGTCCCAGCATTAGACATCTGCTGATGCCCAAGCTGAACAGGATCTTATCAGAAGAAGAGATGCGGTGGTTTTTCACCCAAGTCTTGTAGGTGATCACTGCAATGAACAGATTCACAATGAGTCCCACAAAATTCAAGGCTGTGGAGACAATAACAGCAAGGAGTATTTCGAGCATCTTCACTCATTGAGGATTCAGCAGTTGTGGTGCTGATGCTGGGAACCAGAAAAATACTGAAATGTACAAGGAGGCACCATCCAGCCAGCAAGAAGATTTCCTTCTTTAATTTTCCCAAGTGTGGCAAACGAGCCATTAGTGGTCTAAGAGCCAGCTGCTTTTCCTGAGATGCAAATCTTCCAAGGATTACATTACTCTTTCTTCTCTTGTGTTCTGTTTTCCTTAGAAATGCCCAATTCAAACAGCCAAGGTGAACCCAGGAGTCCCCTCCTCCAGAGAAGAACAGCTGAAGGGACAGTACTGGCAAGCTCCAAGGACTTCAAACCCCATTGACAGAGTTCCCGTCCAGCACTGTTTCGGTCCCTGTTCCACAGAGAAGGCAGCTTTCCTTCACGGCAACCCCAGAATATGCCTCACTCCTACCCAACCTCCCCCACCCACACATCCATGAACTGCAATTCTCTCTCCCCTCTAATCTGCCCATGTCACAGGTCATTCTGGCCAACCCAATATTATTCTTTCATCCCTGAGCACCAATGATGACTGGCAGTGATCCAACGGGTCAAGATCAAGGGCCTACACCTCCTGGAGAAAGCCCTTCTCAATTAATTCCATCCTCTCATGATGATTCTTACTCTGCATTCTCTCCCCAGTCACACATAGGGATTTGGGTCATAGTCATTTGCTGCAACCAGCTTTTGCTCAGAAAAGAAATGCCAGCCATTTCACGTCTCCTCCATAGATCTGGGTTTATGCTTAGCTCACACTGGCTATTTCCTCTTCGGCATTCAACTGCCGATCAAAGTACTCTGGTACCCGATGCACAGTAATGGTTTCCTTAGAGTTTTGTGTGCCAAATAGATAGGCATCTCATTGCCTGATTTCTCTATTATTGCTCAGGGACGAAAGGGTACAATATTCCTAGCAAATGATATGATATTACTGAAAACCCGGAGGGAGTGCAAGCGTCTGGCATCTCTTCTCACTCTAGCAGTCGGACGAATCCACAGAACAGTCCAGCGTGAGCCACGGCTAGGTTACCAAACCAGCATCATAAAGCATCCAAGTCCTGTTACCAAGCAGGACCAGGCGAGAAGGACGACTGACAGAGGCGTGCCCGGATCAGCTACTCAGGCAAACACAGAGGGAGCAAGCAAGGCACTGACTGCTGGGGAGAGTATGTACATCATAGCACATATTTCTGCTTCATTCTCTATAAAATAGCATACTGCTTTAAATTAATGAAGTTGAAGTGTAAATACACATTTAAATGGAACAAATAATACAGAGTAAGATATTAAAATTGTATGTTCCTCAAAGCAGGGGGCCAGCATCAGGCAGCCACCCAGTGCATTCAGAGTGTGACACACCACGTGCTGGGTTCCCCAGTAGCCGGAGGTACGACAGTTGAGGTGTGGTCACATCGGTAGCATGATCAGTGACTAAGCTGGTTCTGTCAGAAGTTATTTCTGAAAGAGTCAGTATAGGAAAGGTGTTAAAACCCTTTCTTCCTCTGCATGAGAATTGGACCTTCAGTCACATGTACATGTCTCAAGAAGATCCCTGCTTTGGACCTCCCTGAAGTCAGTGACTCTTCTGTATTTGCCCCTTGGCTTAAGCTATGTGTATGAAATCATTCCAATTCACATTGGCTTCTTTGGGACAGGAAGCTGTTATTTTAGGGCAGCTTATTCCCATTCCTGTAGGGAAAGTTTTAGGGCAAAGAGTCAAAGCAAAAGAATGACTTGGCTTTGATTGATGAAGCCTCTGAAGAATGAGATCAGTCACGAATAAATAACAGTGGATGGGGCATCTTGAAACTCAGGTCATCCTAAAGCAGTTCCAGGTAGAAGATGTGGTTACCCCTATTCGCAGCGGAGGACACGAAGATCAGAGAAAACAAGTGACTGCCAAGCATCACAGAAAACAAGTGGCTAAGCTGCAAGGTGTTTCTGAAACAGAACTCTTTCAGCCATACTAGGCTGCCCACCATTGGTTCATTCATTCACTTAACTGTTATCATCCAGGCACTAATGTTAGTTGCTGGGGAAACAGGGAAGAATTACTCAGACCCTGCCTTCAAAAACCATACAGAAGAGCACAAGAGACAGACAAACAGGCAATTAGATCTGTATATAGACAGTATAATAAGGAAAAACAAAGGGTTCATTGAGAGTGTTCAGGAGGGACATTTCACCCCAACTTGGGGGGTCAGGAAAGGCTCCCTGAAGGAGACATAAATTAAGTCTGAATGTGCAAAGTGGTTATCCAAGCAAAAGGCTAGGGTGGGAGGAAACCTATTGGGAACTGAGGGAGAACTCTCCTGGAGGAGGTGCCAAAGAGGGTGGTAGGTTCAGAAAACAGAACAACAGAGGGATGCAAAGAGGAAGAAGTGGTCAGAGAGGAAACTGGAAGGATAAATAAGAGTGAACTGTCTATGTCAGAGTAAGTACTGATTTTCGACATAAATAACCATTCTAGTTATGTAGTCAGAGGCATGTACAATATTTCTGAAAACACACAGAACAAGTGCTTAACTTTACCTGAGAGGGTCACAGAAAGTGTCCCACAGGAAGCAGGTCTTGAAGGATAAGAGGAGCTGAAGCTGAGGAGTGAGGAAGGGAAGTCTAGGCAAAGACAGCAGCTCAGGCAGCAGTGCAGCAGCTAGAATGGTGTGGCGTGTTTGGGAGGTAAGTCGTTCAAGGCTCCTTTGGAAAAGTAAGAAACGGGAAGATGAATCTAGATAGGAAAATAAAGGCTAAATGATGAATGACTTTGTGTTCCAAAGTAAGAAGTTCGGGCTTTCTCCAAAGCAATGAAGAACACTGCAGGACTTTCAGAGAGGGGTATTATGACTGTCTTTTCACTGTATGAAGAACATAGCCCAAGTACTGTGGAAGGTTTTGCTGGAAACGGATGGGACTGGGAACAGGAAATTAGTTAGTATCCTGTTACAGTCCCTCTGATGGATTGAAAAGTGGAAATTGAGACTGGGGACATTTGAGAGAGGTGTTTCTCAAGTACAACCAAATGGAACTAGTGACCAAATGGATACTGAATATTAATATTGAATATAAAAGAGAAGAATCTGTGACTATTTCCAGAATTCCAGTGTACCTAAAGAAAACATCTTTTAGTGACAAGGAGCACAGGCTGAAATGGCATTAGGCTTGCAAGAGGCAGGAGGTGGCAGGTAGGAAGAGAAGGTGGACAGAGGATTCAGACAGCAATGAAGGGTGATACTTGTAAAATAGGAGGGGGGAAAGAAGAACTGGGTGGGAAAGCCTCAGGCTGCAGCACAGTCCACTAAAAAATTCAGTCAGGCTTATAGAGACTCCTGGGGCCAAAACAGCCTGCTGGAACTGTTTAAAGTCTCGAGGAATAGACCTGTATTCAGACCATGGAGGGCCCCATCACTGGCTGAGAGCAGCCAGCAGGACGTGTGGCGTCAAAGTGGCGGATCTCAGCAGACAGAGCCATCTGTTGATTCAATCATGTTCCCTGTCACAGGGGAACTGAGCAATGCATTTGCATGGCTGCTACAGCAGGGAGCTAGACACAAAGGTCACCTGAGCTAGAACTTTCTGTGATAAGATGATCCCTTCCTCACAGGTGAAGCACCTGTTTCAATGGTGCAGAAATGAAATACTCGGGTCTGTGTCTTCATTGCCACCTACACAGGCTGTTTTTGAAAACAGGAACTGATCTAATACAGCGCCTGGTGCAAAATGTCATGGATATTTGTGGTATGAAGGAATAAACTAGAATCAAGATAAGCGAGATTCAAAGTGGAATATTGTTATAGCAGCATGAAGCAGCTGGCCAGACCCATTCTTTCCCCAAAGAGATCTGCTAGCTGCGCAGTGAGAGAACAAACCTCAGCAACCATGAACAATTCATGTCAGCCCTCTCTGGCTGGAAAGTGCCTTATTGGCAATAAACTCACATCAAGGCCAGAAAGAACATGCTGAGAGACTCCAATCACAAACTTCTGAAAATGTATTTTCCCAGGTTAACCTGGAAATGTTGCTCTGCTCACCTGGCCAGTCCCACCAAGTCACAATGACAGTTTAATTATTGTAGAGTCAACGACATTTACTCACTCTGCCAACTCAGATGTCTGGAGAAAAAAAAAATAAAAGGTTCTTAATTTTGTCTGCAAGCAATAAGGTTGGGGAGGAATATTTAACCCAACGGCAGAATGTGAAGAATGTCTTCAGAAACATGTTCAGTCTCTTTGCATGTAAGTGCAAAAACTCAGGCCGTCTCCCCATGCCACGCTCCTCTCCTGTAATTAGCGGTCAGGTGCATGGGGAGAAGGGCTAGAATACCTGTACCCTGCGGCGGCAGCGAAGTGTCATGTCCTCGCCTCCTGGGGCTTCCAGGAAGAGCTCCCTATCCCATGGCTGCTGCTTGCCCTGCCAGCGTTCAAGGCTGCCTGTGCCTATGCTCTGCTCGTACCAACTGCAAACAGGGAGCTTGTGGCCCATCCTCACAGAGGGGGACAGTCAGGGCTCTCACCGGCCCCACTGCCATCCCTGGTCTCTCCCCCACTGGCCTCCCACCACCCCCTGGATGCGGGACGGAGCAGACCGCCCCTGACATCGTGTCCTCTTCTCCCACCAGCAACAAGGAAGTTCACTGACTGTCACGAGAGTAAGAATCCCTGACTGACTTACCTCAGACTCAAACCTTGACAGAGTGTAATACTGAGAGCCGATGTTTGTAGTGCATTTACTCTGCTTTACTTGCTTAAATACATCACATACATCGTCTTTCCTAATCTTCAAACCGATCTGAAGAAGCATGCCTATTTCACAGTGAAGGAAACCGAAGTCCAAGGAGGTTTAGTAACGTGCCAAAATACATGCAGCTCATTAGTGAAAAGGGTCAGGAATTGAGCCCAAATATGTGTGATTCCAGAACTAGCACTTTTACCTACTACATTATACGTATTTCTAGTGCAGCAAAATGTACAAATTATATACAGTAGCCTGCAGCAGTTGTTGGAGTTGAATGTGGACAAGTAACATTGGCTCCCCACTTACCCAGAGCCAAGAAAATCACAAACACAACTTTAAGATGCTCTAGGTAGCCCTATTCATCAACAATGGGGACATATAAAGGACATCGTATGAGGTAAACGGCACTGGTAGGTACTGAAACTGAGAAATTTTGGAATGTATTTTTGTTGTTGTTTTGTTTATTCTTTTTATTTATACTCCTCCCAGACCCAAGCTACACTTCAAGCTCATTAAGTGTCAAGATCTATGAACTTGGCCCAAGAGGGCACAGAGTAATAAAAACAAGAAGTAGTCCCACAACACATAGAACAGGGGGCCCTGGAGGGAAACTTGGAAGGTCTCAGAGGTACCGCCACAACTTTCTGTTGAGTCACGTGTACAGTCCTTCACAATACACCAAAGAATAGTTGCGTCTGGAGGGCCCACCAGACCATAGGAACAAGCTGTAACATGCAACTGGACCCCAAGTGTAAGGACAATTCTCGTTCCCATACTCTGACCCAAGGAACCTGGTCACACTGGACCAAAGACATGTTCTGGTCCCTCGTGCAGCAAACTACATTTGAGACTATTAAGGGGTTTAACAACTCAGGTTAACTCATTCCTAACAAAACAAAACATTGAAAACAAACAAGATGGCCCCTTCCAGGGTCTCTCAAAACTGGGACTGAGGCATTAACTAGGTCATTCTTCCCCATGCCCAGGGAGTTAGGGAGGAGCTGGCCGGTGAGGCACCCCCTGGGGGACTTAGAAGACCACGCCCTCTCCAGAATGGCTGAACCTCCCATCGCTCTGCTTCCAGCAACACCTGAGACTCTTTCCCTAGCAACTCACCCACTACTCATACCCATGTCCCCACTCGGACCCCCAACTCTGATAATGGCAGTCCACATGTGGCTGGCGTCACTGAACAAAGTCTGACATTGTCCAGGAGTCGCCTCCAAATTTCCCAGACAGAGGGAACAGGGGCGGCACTGGGGCCGTGCTCCCTGTGACTCTGATGCCACAGGTGCGCCCGGGCAAGGTAGCTCTACCCTCGGCCAGAGGGAAGTACTTCTACAACAGGCTTTCCGGCCACACTCCAGGCTCCAGCAGAAGCAACAGTGCTGGTCACTTCCACGTGTTCACTGCGCTGTACCTCAACCCGTCAGGCCAGGGTAGGACTTCATGGAGCCACAGCGAAAGCAGAAGGGAGGGATCCTTCAGAGCTAGCCAAACGCACCCAGAACCAGACAGCAGCCGGGCCCAAGTCTCTAGTAAAATGTTAGGTTCTGTTAGAAGAGAAGGAAATCCCCACGCCTAAGGCAGAAGGTGGAATCAGGAGTTTGGGTAAGGGCTGAAGAGCCAGAAGGGCAGACTTAGGCAGGGGAGTTGTCAAAGCGACAGAAAATAGGAACAAGTGTTCGAGCCTGGTTGAGGGGGGATCCCAGAGGGGGGTGGGGGTGGCGGCGGGCGGGGGTGGTGCAGAAAGTGATGGCACAGCGATGGATCAGATATATGGTTAATAAAGCAGATATGGTTTATATGGTTAATAAAGCAGATATCAACCGACACTGAGTGGATTTCTGTAAACTCCCCTGCGCTGAAAAGAAGCACATATTTTCATTAATTACAGGAGGACCTGTTTCAGAATCCTTATATTTTAGTAAACTAGGAATGAATACTAAATCATTCTTTTAAATTTCAACAGATACCTTTCTGAAAAGGAATGTAATTTCAAAATTAGGAATTTTCCCAGGAGCTTCAAGAGGCAAGCATCAATTTGAAAGCAAACAATGCAGACCAAAGCCTTTTATCCCTGCAATTTTACTAATGAATTTATGAATTCCAGGACAATCCTAATGTTAATTTCTGGTTACATATGACAAAATGCCAAGTGATGGGCTGAACCTTCATGCTATGTCAATTGATTACAAAATAACAGCAATAACAATAGCAAAATTGAGTATTTTTATTCCACATAGAACTTGAACCATTGTTCACATTGTTAACTCATTCCTTCCAACAACTCTACCAATAAAATACTATTTCCATTTTACAAATGAGGAAAGTGAAATACAGAGAGGTTAAGGAACTTCCCCAAAGTCACCTAGCTCATAAGGGCAGGGGTCCGGATTTGAATCCAGTCTGTCAGAATCCACACTCCTGGCTGCAACAACATCAGAGAGCCCATTAATGACAGAAACCCAGATTCCGAATCACCACGTGTCCCGAGTATGCTCACAGGTTTGAGAGTTCTTCATGGTCTGAATCAGTAATATGCTCATTCACTTGTCGCCACCATTCGGTGATAGGAAGTAATCAATGCATATGTAATTTCATTAAAGCAAAAGTGATTAAACTTATAGAAACTGCTTATATTATTTTTTAAATAAAACTCTGAAATTTTAAACGGGAGGTATCCATCTTGGGTCATTAAAAAAACACTTGGACTTTTGCCAATCTAAAAAATAAAAAAGGATGACTCGAAAACTTATTTTAGCAAAATGACAAAGGAAAGCAAGGACAATTGGAATGGAAGAAAAATGACTTCACCACTGGAAGCTGGATTGGAACCCAGCATCCAAGGGTCCTGATAGACACTCCACTGTGTGATGAAACAATGGATTTGTGGAAACTATCTCCTTTGTGGGAACTGCTGCACAATTCACTGTTAGTGACTATTGGAGTTTCGCTGAGTAGCACTTGTGCTAAACACACTGTGCTAAGTGTTGGCACACATGCTCTCGTGAATCTCGAAAACCCAGTGAGGTTGATGTCACAGCCCACATTTTAACATGAGAGACAAGGGGATCACACAGGTGATTCATATAACTGCCTGAGGGCAAGTTCAAACCCAGTCTGTGGGACTGCAATACTTTTGCTCTGTCCCATAGTTCACTAGTGTTTTACTTACATCGGCTTGTCACTGTCAGTATAAACTTGACGTAAAAGCTAGTGATCAGCTCATTACGTTGAGCTTGTAGTTACTGAAATGCAACTCCATGTCCATATAGTGAGGGCGTTCTTACTAGAGCGACATTTCCCAAACGCTGCTGTACCATCTCCAAAACAAGCACACAAAGGGAGGCCATGCTGCATTCTCAGGTGGGACGTTCAGCAGTAGTGTCTCTCTCCCGCTGATGTCATAGGATTGGTCCCCCGGGTGGGTCAGGAAGAGCTCTGCAGTCTTGAGTCAGGCGGAAGGACTCCTGGGCTCCCGCCTCTCCCCACTGACAGTCTATGCGGCAAGGGGTCCCTTGGGCCCAGGCTTCCAATGACCAGACTCACACCAGAGCAGCTCCACAAAGGTCTGCTTCAGCTTGTTGTTTCCCAGAATGAGAATAAATGAGTGGCCAGCAGGATAAAGCATTGTGACCATTTCTCCAATCATCTTAATCATCTCAGTTCTTGGTAGAAAATAACTGGATGATGTAATTGTAAAGGAAAAACAATAAAATAGGAAGAGGAAGAGGAAGGAGAAGACAATTCTGATGGCCCGCTTGTGGGCCTCAGTGCTGGCATCACTGGGGCTGGTTCTGTTTTGCTGCATCTGCTTCATGTGCCTCCCCAGGGACAGGATGAGCAGGACGTAGGAGGCCAGAGACACAATCAGGGGAGGGAGGTACCACAGCATCCCAAGAACATGGATCATCTGATATTCATGCATTTGTTTTTTGAATTGTTCAGTCACATTACTAGTGCCAGGATTTTTGTGGAGAAGGAAATAGATCTTCAGCTGAGGAATCAGAGATATGGCACTGCCACATGATAAGAACAAGTGCGCCCAGCAGCATCCATGCGACCACCCTGGACACTCTCCACTTGAGCCAGAGGAACGTAGGGTGGGAGAAACTGGCAATTTTCAGGCAGTAGAGAACACCAAGGCTGGTGGCAAGCCAAATGCTCAGGTGGTTTGTAAATGTCCAGAAAATATCAATAACTTGCACTGTCAGCTCACTATCATCATAGACATGGGAAAAGAACACTGCTATTAGACCATCAGTAAAGAGAATCCAGAGCAGAACAATCCTGCAGAGAGCCAGGGTAGTGATGATGAAGTCAGACAAAGAGATTCTCTTGCTCTTGAACCAGCTGCTGCCATTCACCAACCCAATGAAGCCATTCCCCAGCATTCCCAGGATGAACTGAGCGACAGAAAGAAACAGAGTCACCCACTTGCTGAGTACCAGCATGTCAGCTATCAGGCAGACCTGGTCTTTGTTCTTTCTGCTGATGTTCAATCTCCTTGCTGATTTGAAATTTCTCCCTGTGAACCTAACGCCCGTACCTGCTGCTTCACTGGACCTGTCTCTTCTCTCTTCCCAATTCAGTCTGTGGTTGAGCACAGTCTACTGAACCCTATCCAGCTCCCTTAGGATAGTCTGTCCTCTTCACAGATGGCATGGAATGTCACATTCCATCTATGATCTAAACTCACCAGCCTTTTGCCAATATGAAAATAGAGTAGTGTCTGGTGTCATGCAGAGAAGGAAGGGCCGAGTCACAAAAAATATGGAGGACTTGTACTCAATTTCTAAGCCACCCAGAACAGAAAGGGGAGTGTCATCAGAAGAGTCACACACACAATCGAAAAGGAGGACTCAGGGACATGCACAGAACAGGGCAAATGCCAAACTCCACCGTAAGGCACTATCAAAGTCATCCTGGAGGAAGACTGATGTCCATGAAATAGAAAAAGTTCAGCCAGTGCCACAAGTGCACCTCTGAGGATGTGCCTTACTCAAGGGACCCGAAGTTCATCCCCAGTGAGCCATGTTGTCAGAAATCCTATCTGAACACCCAGGTGCTAGCAATAATGGAGTATAGCACCTAAGCTACTCTAACACAAATTTTTCAGAGTACATCACCAAGGTATTGATAAGTAATTAAGCTGACAGAGATCACACACAGATATCACTTGTCAGGCAAAGAAGGCTTATATATCTGAAACAGTGCCTTACAAATTTTGACCATGATCAACCTAATATTTTTATATGACCTTCATATATGTGTATGTCACTATATAAAAGACATATATGTCATGATCTAAATTATGTATACTATATACAAGGTCTGTCCAGAAAAACTTCAGGGATTGTTAATGTAGCGAGAATGGTTTGCATGTCCTCAATGTAACCTGGCAGCCAAGGAGAGTGGACTGGGAGGCACATGCATGAACGATGATGACTTCACTGTACTAGTCAGTGGGGGTGGTAGACGCCATTGAGGGAGCCTGTGTACTGTGTGGCCGTCACATTCAAAATGAACGAATGAGTAGAGCAGCAAATATGGATCAAATTTTGCATGAAGCTTGAACATTCCTCCAATGAAACTATTCCTGACAACACATCCCCTCATGCATCACATCTTGTGCAGAGTATTTTGGCAAAACATCAAATCACCCAGGTGACTCAGCCCTGCTGTAGCCCAGATTGGGTGCCGTGCAACTTCTGGCTTTTCCCAAAACTAAAATCACCTTTGAAAGAGAAGAGATTTCAGACTGTGAATGAGATACAGGAAAATATGATGGGGCAGCTGATGGCAATTGGGAGAACTGTGTGAAGTCCCACGGTGCCTACTTTGAAGGGGACTGAAGTGTCATTGTCCTATGTACATTGTTTCTTGTATCTTGTATTTTCTTCAATAAATGTCTCTATTTTTCATAATACATGGCTGGATACCTTCAGGACAGACTTCATATTTAATACATATGTGTTGGGGAACACAAAGGTTTTACAAAACCACATTTCCCCTTTCTACATGTGTGGATCTCTGATATTTTCTAACATGTTCTATTTCTTTCAGTGTTGCTTGCTGGTCACTAACTTGATTTTGCAATCTACTAATGAGTTGTGATAAATACTGTTTGAAAACACTGATCTGGAAGATGGAGAAAAACCAAGATACAAACCCAGGTTCAGCAGCGTTATCCAATGAAAGACAGAAGGTCATGCTTTCAGCTCCCCTCACAAGGACCTCCCAGACTAGCAGATGTCAGTCTGAATGAACGGCACATGGTCCCTTCAGAACACGTGCCAGGAGCCACCCACACCAGCCAGGGAGCCTCACCGAACTTGGCGTTACACAGCGCACAGCATGGTTTCAGAGCGCTGCAGAGCGTGCTCAGGCACAAACACAGCCCTCTCCGTCGCCTTCGGTTTCCTCAGGCTGATGTACCAACACGGCCCAAGTGCTTCCAGAGCTCTATGCTGCAGAATCAGAAGGCCTGTCCCCAGCTGTCTCTGGGAGTCCTGTAACAGAGCCCTAGACCAGGGACAGGGCGTATCCCACAATTACCACTCACCTTGTTCAGTTTTTTTCCTCCTGGCTACAGTTCTAGATTCATATTTTTGTTATTATAACATCTTTCACATCCCCTCATGAGAAGAAACATCCCTGTGTTAGTAGAGGTAACCAACGAGGGGAGAGTTTAGAATATACCACATATCAGAATGCATTTCACATACTAATTCATCTTTGACATACTTTTTTACTGGCTGATTACTCCTACCCCTTCCAAAGTTACAACCTGTACCTTTTTGTAAGTCATTATTGAGCAATTTAGGGTTAACTATAATTTTTTTTCTTTCTTGTCTTTTGATTCTTTCCCAGGACACTGTGTTTCCATGTACCCTACATAAGCTGGTGACCAGAGTTCAAAGACTTTGTTGCGTACTGTCATTACCACCGTCATTATTCCATCAGAACTGCTGACGTGAACTGTTAGCCCACAGTGATGCCATTCCAATTCTTAACATCAATACTAAAACTATCACACTATGACTAGGTGTCACAGCATTAGTAAGGGCTGCTTCCAAAATGAATGTCGACCATGGTCCACCAAAAACACCACATATGCTTATATATTCCAAGCCCAATTCTGTAAAGCCTGCAGCTCCAAACACCGTTTAGTGGAGGGATCAATACACCACAGCCAGTGTTGGATCCTCGGATCTGTCACCCCAGGCTGCAGGCCCCAGAAGGGAAACTGAGAGGGCCTGCTCTGGCTGCCTGCCAACTGTTCTTTTGAGTCAAAGAGCAACACTATGTGTTAAGTCAGGGTCTTGACTGGAAACAGCTGGCACCAACTGGATAATTCTGCAGTTTTAAAAGGGATTATCAAAAAGGGGGAGGGTTACTGTGCCTCAAATGCTTTCTTTACAAATTGAAAGTTTTTGGAAACCTTGCCTCGAGCAAGTGTATCAGCTCCATTTTTCCAACTAGCTCACATAATGTTTAGCATTTTTTAGCAATAGTTTTAATTAAGGTATGTACTTCCTTTGGCTTTTGCATGGCCTTGTTTGTTTTTTTTTTTTTCCATTTTTGAAGTTTTATTGTTTATGCTATTACAAGGGGGAGGTAGGGACTGACTGAATGAACAAAGGTGAAGAGATTAGTGAAAGGTATGTACTTTTTTAGACATAATGCTATCGCACACAACAGACTACAGTATAGTGTAAACATAACTTTGATGCACTCGGGTACCAAAAAATTGTGTGACTTGCTTTTTTAAGGTGGTCTTAATGAAAGGTGGTCTCAGCTCCTGACAGCAGCTGAGATTTTTCAGTTTGGTGTCCTTGAAGAGAGTGATCTTAGAGAAAGGACCTCAAAACCCAGGTCAGCAGACCAACAAGGCACATATTCCAGTACCAACTTCTGCCACTCCATTATCCTGGCACTTTCTTCACAGGAACTTGGACATAATGGTCCAGGTCTTTGCACCACCCCTGCTTCTGGTACTAATCTGCATGGCAACTGTGCTGATAAACATCAGCAGCACAGTCAGTACTGGCATTAAGACGGGTCCTAGACACCGGTTAATGATGCTAATCTGGTAACACCGAGTCAGCACAGGCAGATTTCCATGGCAGAGGTCAGCAACACATGCAGCACGGAGCGCAGGCTCCCTGTTCCCACAGACCCTCGCCTGGAGCGCACACCATGGCTAGTACTAAGTCTGCACGCTGAGCCTCTCACCAGAGCCCTGAAGGCTCACCCTCAAACAACATATGCTCACAGAACATTCAGTCCGTGCCTAGTGCGCACGAGGGGCGTCTCATCAGTCCTGGCCTTCCACTGTCCACAATCCCACTGCAAATCACTGAAGACTCTGGTCTGCTCAGAACAATCACAGGCCTCCTTTACCCGCTTCAGTTCTACCCCCGCAAACTGATAAAACTGTTTACAAAGGCAGAACACGTGTCCGCTCCCCAGGCGTTCTATCACGCTGTATACACCAACTACAGGTTCCATCCTGTCACAGTGTTACCTCTAAACATCCATCCAGCCATTTCCTACCAGACACTGGGGACAGACATTCCTCCAGGGGCTTCTCCTGCTCCTACACATCTTCACAATCCGTTGCCTTAACCAGAGACCTTGGAGGCCACCTATTGGTGACACCCCAATAATTACAAGGGACAGACAGGGCCTTGAGCAGTAACATTAGGTCCCCCTCAGACCCCCTTTCTCCTATCTCACCTGGCATCATCTGCTCTGGCTCCTGATGACCTTCATCTCAAATCACGGGATGCAGCTCAAACCAACAAGTGTTCAGTGAGCTCCTGTGCAGCCTTCCGGGTCCCTCCTCTGCCTCCAGCACTACTCCTCATTTGTCTGTGCGACACATTTCACCATGTGACGACCTGCTGCTGTGGCAAATTAGGAAAACCCTAGAAGCAGCTTGCATCCTAGTCCTAGCAACACTTTATGCTAACTATGCGCCATTAAGAAAATTTCTTGCTCTTTCTCACCCTCAAGTTCCAAATAAATGGAATGAAGAGTGAGTTCATGGTCAATAAAAACGAATGGCTTAAGGGCCTGGCTTCTGGAGTCAGACCTGGACTGGACCTGAGGGCCACTGTTATGTGACCTCAGGCAAGTTAATCTCCCTGAACCTCAATCTTCTCACCTGTAAAATAGGCATAATCATAGGAGCTACCTATGTTACAGAGTTGTGACAGTGACCAAACACCACAGTGCCTATGAAATGTGTAATGTGAGAGTGTCCTTTAAATGTTAGCTATTATCGTCAGCAACATTAACAGGGCCATTGCACTATACATTACCTATACTTGGGACAGTTTTATGGAAACTTCTATTTGTTCAATATAAAGTTAAACACATATAAAAATACATGCTACATATACGTATGTTGTAAAGCAAACAAAGCAAGCCCCCATGACGCCACCGC